AGATCAACCTGTCGTGGAAGATCAACTTGATCTTGAGAATGATACTAATGAAGAAATCTCTGTTAGAGGTACAAGACCTCTAGATGAGATCTATGAGAGATGTAATGTGGCTTTAGTGGAGCCTACTAATCCTGAAGAGGCTATAAAGTCAGCTAGTTGGAAAGCTGCAATGGAGGAGGAATTGAATATGATCAACAAAAATGACACTTGGCAGCTGGTAGAAAGGCCTACTGATAAAAGGGTGATTGGTGTAAAATGGGTTTTCAGAACTAAGTTGAATCCAGATGGTTCTGTTAACAAGTTAAAAGCAAGGCTAGTTGTTAAAGGTTACTCTCAGCAATTTGGAGTAGATTTTTCTGACACCTTTGCTCCAGTGGCAAGACATGATGCTATAAGATTGTTGATCGCTTTAGCAGCTCAAAAAGGTTGGAAGATTTTCCAACTTGATGTCAAATCTGCATTTCTTAATGGCTACTTGAAGGAGGAGATATTTGTGGAGCAACCCCCATGTTTCCTTAAAAAAGGAAATGAAGACAAAGTGTATCAGCTCAAGAAGGCCTTGTATGGGCTAAAGCAAGCACCGAGGGCTTGGTATAGCAGGATAGATGATCATTTGCTGCAGTTGGGGTTCAAAAGAAGTCCTAGTGAGGCCACTCTCTATGTGCAACAAGCAGGTGATGATTTATTAATTATTTCTTTGTATGTTGATGATCTTCTCATAACTGGCAGCAACATTGCTTTAGTGCAAAAGTTCAAAAAAGAAATGCAAAATGTGTTTGAGATGACTGATTTGGGAGAAATGTCATATTTTCTTGGTATGGAAATTCTTCAAACTGAGCAAGGAATTTTCATAAGCCAAGAAAAATATGCTAAAGATGTGCTGAAAAAGTTTGGCATGGAGAATTGCAAAGATGTTAGCACTCCACTGGGTTTGAATGAGAAATTAAGCAAAGAAGATGGAAGTGATAAAATTGATGCTGGAATTTATAGAAGTTTGATTGGTTGTTTGCTATACTTGACAGCAACACGACCTGATATTATGTTTGCTACAAGTTTGTTGTCAAGATTTATGCAAGCTCCAAGTGAAATACACTTCAAGGCTGCAAAAAGAGTATTAAGATATGTGAAAGGAACAACAGATTTTGGTGTTTGGTTCAAGAAAGGAGAAGAGGTTCAGCTGATTGGATTTGTGGATAGTGATTGGGGTGGCTCACTTGATGATATGAAGAGTACCTCAGGCTATATTTTTACCATTGGTTCTGGCATGATCAGCTGGAATTCTAGAAAGCAGGATGTGGTGGCTCAGTCAACAGCTAAAGCAGAGTATATTGCTGCTACTCCTGCTGTCAATCAAGCCATTTGGCTAAGAAAAGTTCTTGAAGACTTGCATCACATGCAAGAGAATGCTACTGTAATTTTTTGTGACAATCAATCTGCTATAGCTATGACAAAAAATCCTGTGTTTCATGGAAGAAACAAGCACATCAAGATCAAATATCATTTTATTAGAGAAGCAGAAAAAGAAGAAGAAGTCAAGTTAACTCATTGCAGCTCTGAAGATCAATTTGCAGATGTTTTGACTAAAGCATTGCCCAAAGCAAGGTTCGAACAACTAAGGAAGAGTTTGGGAGTTTCCAGCAAAAGCGCCAAGGAGGAGTGTTGAAGAGGGTGGATTGTGGCACATTTGCTGTCACATCTTTTCTGTTTTTTTGTAGTTTTTTGAAGCAAAGTTATTAATGAGGGTATGGTGTATGGTACGGGAGAGTGCCTTACTTCTGTGGACAAAATCTTTTTTATTTGTTTTTGTTTTGTTGAAGACCACGTCTTCTTGCTCTATCTGTCTCTCTCCATATATGTACTTATAATGTATTGAAGTCACTGTAGAAAAAGCAGAAAAATACAAGTTGCTATTCATTTTTTGCTCTTCCGTGTTCTTAGTTCTTTAAGGTTGCTCTATCTATTAGCCTATTTCCATCTTCCATCCTCTGCTCTTTCAAAAATCCAACATTAATAAACTCGAGGAGTGCTAACAATAAAGATTTATCTTCGTTAAAACTTCATATCAAATTATGCACATTTCTATCGGTTAGAGTTAATCAAAATCACATTAAAATAAAAATTATATACGTAAAAGTGACCATTTTTAATATATATTAATTGAAAATCAGAACGTGTCATCTTTCAAATCCTACCGTAAAAATCTCTTAAGATTATAAAGAGCATATTTTGGAAACAAAAGCCAGTTAAGGTATAGTTAGACCAAACAATTAAGCCCCCCACAAAAAAAAAAAAAAAAAAAAAAAAAAAAAAAAAAAAAAAAAAGAAAAGCGAAGCATGTGATATGGTGCGCATCCTGCATGTTTTGCATGTCATACACGTGCATTGCTAAGCAAACTGATACTTGTCAGTTTTTTTCAGTCACTTTTCCTGTTGTCTAAACCAGCACTGAAACACCTGGAAACACCTTCCCGGTTTCGGTGGCAATAGATTATAACGAGAACAGTTCATGAATTAAAGCCCCAATCTCTTAGCTTTCGTTGCATGATATATGTTCTCAACTTGTCAATCTCATTTTGATAACGAAGTCTCTGTCTTTTGGCACTGAAAATATGGAATCCTTCAAGCTTAGCTTGCTCTTCTTTGTGCTTCTTCATGCCTTTCTCTTGCTTCCCAATTCGGTTCTCAGTAATGGTACTTGCTTCTCTCCCTCTCTATTTTTGTTTTGAATTAAATCAAAATTAGTATTTTGTTTTTAGTGAGTGTTAGAATAGGAGAAGAATTAATACTTGGAGAAATATCTCAAAAGCTGTTGTACTTGGTATAAGTTGGTAACACATTTATTAAAAAAAAAAAAGAGTTGGTGAAATATTAGCTTAGGATGCTAGTAGTATGGAAAATGAAACTCCCTCAAAGTACATTTTGGGATTTGCTCCATTTCTTATGTGAACATGATAATGATATTTAGGGTTGATTTGAACATCTTTGCTCTAGTGTTTTTTTTCCCATATAATAATGCATTAACATTTAAACTAATTAAGACACACTTTGACCATATACAAAAAGTTTTCAATGTGCAATATTTAGGGGAAATTTCCATGTTCATTAAGCTAGTAACATGAGGATTATGATGTTAATTAACATGACTCATAAACAAGTACTCTAGTATTGTAATTGTTATTTAACTGCAGACGATGAGGACAATCTCCTTCAAGGCCTCAACAGCTACAGGCAATCACAAAGGCTACCACCTTTGGTCAAAAATGGGAAAGCAGAATGCCTTGCTGATGAGATTGCCGATGAAATGGAGGACCAGCCTTGCACGACTTTCGCCGCCGGCGCAAACATAGCGCCCTCCACACAAACCCAGCTCACCAACTACCCCAAGCTCTTGAAAAAGTGCAAAATTGACGCCAACACCACATCAGACGGTGTGATTCTCCCAGTTTGTGTGTCTAATTTGGTCCCAACTCTTCTCCTGACCAACTACACACATACTTCATATGCAAAGTATTTGAACAATACCAAGTACACAGGGGCTGGCCTTGGCTCTGAGGATGATTGGATGGTGGTTGTTCTGAGCACTAGCACACCAACTGGAAGCTTTTCTGGTTCTCTTTCTTTGGTTTCCATGATGGGTTTTGGTCATTACTTGGTTTGGGGATTGTGGTCACTGTTTGTTCTTAGCTGAAGTAGATAAGTTGTGTCTTTCTTTTCTGCTTTGTGTCTTTAAGAAACTTTTCTCTCGTGTAAATTTGTTGTTTTAGCTTTTGGATGTTGTTTGGTCATTTTCTGAACTTTCATTCTGTATTGATTCTATAGCTTATTTTTGTGGTAGATATTTTAAAAAGTTAAAACAATATGCAGCATAAAGAAGCAGAACAAGGACAGGGTGTTCAAAATGATTTTCAGCTGTGCAAATTTTACCTTTCTCATTAATCTTGTCAATAAAAATAAAAGTGTTTAAAGTGTAAAGAGCAAAGATGGCACATGGAATCATCTCCATGAGCAAGGCAACCAAGGTGGCAAGCAAAGAATTAATGCAGAATATTTTAATTGAGTGCAAAGAGGATGCCTTGAACAACAAGTAATCTTCAATTATTTTGTAATTCATCACTATCTCATTGCCTTTATATAATGTCATATGGCAAGGCTCTTGAGACCAACTCCCAAGAAGCAAAAGAAACGGACTCTTTGGATTTATGCGTTGACCATGGCGTTCTCCAAAGTTAGCCTGCTTCTGTGTGTACTTGCTTGTGCCATCATATTGCCTGGTTCTCTGGTGCACTGTAATGGTACATTACTACACCCTTGATCTCTACACCATTTTATATGTTAATCCAAATGCAATTGTTCGTTTGTTAATTTTTTTTTTGCGTTCTCCAAAGTTAGCCTGCTTCTGTGTGTACTTGCTTGTGCCATCATATTGCCTGGTTCTCTGGTGCACTGTAATGGTACATTACTACACCCTTGATCTCTACACCATTTTATATGTTAATCCAAATGCAATTGTTCGTTTGTTAATTTTTTTTTTAATTATTAGCTTTACTGTATCAGTTAGTACTTTGTCTCTCTATAAGTAGGACTAAACTCGAAACAAGTTACAAAAAAAACCACGATCAACCCAACTTTAATAGCGTGTGTGCAGATTGTTGAGATCACATGTTTAATTTTTGGTGTATGTTATCTGTCTAACAAGTTATATCACATGTCTAAGACAAGTTATATCACATGTCTAATTTTTTGTGTCTCTAACAAGCTATATCAAATTTTTGATGTCTAACAAGCTATATTATGTTACATCATTCATACAATTGTTAGTTAAAAAGTGTTCTAATTTTTTCTATTTTTAAATAACGTGGTTATATGGTTGATTAGACACTATAATAACATGGCGATACAATTGATTAGAGACCATTTAAAATATTAATTAAGCAGAGGATCCGAGTCCCTATATCTACGTATGTGTGTGTCTATGCATATGCATGTAGTATGTACCCTTTTTGTTTTTAACTTGGAATGTATTTGTATATTCTCGGATCATTGATCATTGTTGGTATATTGAGTTCTTTTTTTTTTTTTTTTTTTTGGGGGGAAAAAAAATTTTTTTTTTTTTGAATTTTTTTTTTTAAAAACAAAAAAGCC